ATATATAATTTGCAACACCCTAACAGGGTTCATGTAGAGGACAATTTATTAATGTATTTAACAACTTTATAATCTCATGACAATTAAACAATATTAATAATTATTAATTAATATTAATAGTTATTGTTAAAGATTTTGTTTCACAAAAAAAAAACCGACTTAATTCTTTTCATTAAAAAAGAATCATCAAAAATGTTCAGAATTGGCGATAATATTGCGTACAATGTAAGTATAAAGCCCAATTAAGAATTCAGTTAGTTCTTTTTGGATTTGATGGAAGATGGAGGTTTGTGAGTGGGTGAATAGTTTATGATATCTAACAATTGAGTGTAACATTGGAGTAGTTTAGGAACGATCCATTCGAATTAATAGTATCGATTTAATTGAACTTATCGATAATATTGATTGATGGATTGTTGAGCGTCAGTCACTTCGTTAAGATAAATTTATCAGGATGTTGGCTTCGAAACAACTTTGTTTAAAAATATACCTTATGGTGTTTTATAGATTGGCGTAAAATATATTAATAGGAATTAACAATTAATCGATACATGAAGATTTTCGGAGTTTAGTATAGTAATAATGAAGCTATGATTATGTTTACTGAGATTTAAGGTCTGATTCTTTGTTGGACTAATTTAGATGAAGAATTTAATTCCTTTGGGCTTTGACTTTAGCGTAACTTGTAGAGCACTTCCATTATGCTGAGTAAAAGATCAGATATTTTCAGATAAAGAGAATATTGTTGAAAATTGCCAGTGGGAGACTTTTTTTTTCAAATGTATGTAACCAGGAGATATAAAATTGACTGCCAAAAGCCTCTCTTTACATACATTTATTGCTGCATCTAATTCTATAAATTTCATACATATCCGTCAGTTCAGAAGACTTGGTTCCTTCAAACATGATTATAATAGATACATCTAGTCTTTTATTTTCACATGATACATCTATGTTAACATCTTTTTATTTGATGGTATTTCCACATGCCCAAATCACGTTTCATTTTTACATTGATATTTCCTTCAAATCTTCTTTCGCTTTCACACAATGTATTTTTTGCGACGTAGTTATTAGTTTTTATGTTTTTTTTTTATACATTTAAAATTCTACAAACGTAACGTCATCACTTTGTTTGCCGAAGTTGTTAATGTGACAATTAATTATTAGAAAAACCAAAGCTGTCGCCCTATCCTTGGACGGTTTGGCACCACGATAATCAATCCGAAAGACGGGCGAATCTGTTGCCAATTCCAATTAGTGGGAACATGCTCGCTAAATGTGTGCTACATATTGGCAATCAGTATTAATTATTATTAAGTAGTACTTTTATTTAATCGCTATGTGGTTCCAGCATAGAATGGATCACTTCATCCTTTCTCGTGGGTGTCGTCGAAGTAACGTCCTTCTTAAAACATTCCCAAACCTAAGCCAATCTTCCTACTAAACGTGGTAACTAGTTGCATAACCAATATGACGAGATCTATGTTCAGCAGTAGACAGTTAAAGACTGACATGATGCTGATGATGATGATTATGATTTTTATTCAAAAGGTGACAGTAAGAATGGAATATGTCAGTAATTCTTTTCATTCTAAGCTCGTCACACTCGTAAGTGGAATTAGAAAAACAAAGCACTGTACTACTACAAGGAACTAAAATCCTGTACTAAGCTGGGGTGAACATTAAAGTCTTTTATAGAGAGAGATCTAAGCCCATCAGTGGACAAGAGTGGTTGTTATACTATTTAGTGCAATGATAATGAGTTCTCTACTATATTTGGGGGTATTGTGGCTGTGGTTTGCACGACTCACATTCAAACGTCAAAAAGTCTTAAGATCAAAAAACCAAAAACGTTGTATCAATTGGAACTTTTGGAAAGATTTGAGACTATACTCGAAGATAGAAGATATTATACTATGCAAACAAACCTGATGGAAAGTAAACTAAAATGTACCATGGACAAATAACTGTTTTAAACCATTAAGTTATCTAAAAATATGTCACAACTGCTTGTTGAAACACGAATTATCGTTTTGTACAAACAAATTGTAAACTAAAATGTCTAAATAATTTAAACCATTAAGATCTAAAAATATGTCAAGTTGGACAGTTAGTTTAACTTGACTTATTACCCATATAGGCCACGTATGTTTGTGTATCTGTGCGTAGCTCATAAACTATATTTATTTAGTGCAAGGATTACCGTTCGTTCGGTGCCGATCAATCATTCCATTGAACATATCCTGTTTCCTCCGAATAGGGATGCTCTTTGCCGATACCTTATCGATAATTTATCGAGTCAATATTTCTTTATCTAAATCTTATTAAACCGGCTTTGAAAAGAAAGAGGTTCTCAATTCGGATGTATTTTTATATATCTGTCACCTCATAACACCTTCAGTTATAAATCGATTTGGAAAATTCTTTTTTTTATAGGAAATACTTAGAAATTAGTTCCAAAGACATTTTTTTCAATATGAGTTCAGATTTTATTATTTAGATAAAATAATTGGTTTTGTTACATTTGGAATCGATTGTTTATGGAATTTAATATTTTTATTATTTTTTAACTTATTTAGGTAAAAAAAAAAACAGTGACAAATAAAATAATGAGCCGAAACACTGAAAAAGACATATAATGTGTAAAATTGTCATCAGCACCGTTTACCACAGCTTAAAAAAGCGTTTTGGTTGTAATCCGTGGCATTTCCCGGTTGTTTTAAAATATACGATGTGTTAATTTATGGTATGGTCTATTTCAAATTTAAAATCCGTTCAGCCGTTTAAGCGTGATTGAGTAACAAACATCCATATATCTTTAGAATGTTTCGCGTTTTGATATTAGTAGGATTGAAACTTGCACTTGCTCTGTACTAACTTGTATGTCCTTGTACAGAGTAATTTGTAAATCGTTTAAAATCAATTAGAAAAGAAAAAAGGTTACCAAATTTATAAAATATTAATCTTGGTCTTTTTTTGTTTATTTTTTTTTAGTTTATAAATTTCGTTTCTTTTAGATTTTTATAAAACATAAAAGGGATTGCAATTTTATTATAATGTAATAAATAAACAAAATCTACTTCGAGTAAAATAAAGGAAAACTGCCTTTAAAAACAAAATTCTCGATAAGATTATGCGAAATTTTATATATATTTTTTATTAAGTTTCGACATTTTTCGTCATTCGTGTCAGGAATTTGTTTAACCTTCGAGAGACGTGTAAGTATTGTGAGTTTAATAAAAAAAAAAAAAAACATAACTGTTTGCAAAAATGTTAAGTGAAAATTACAAATGCAGTGCGTTATGTCCATTGTTTCTGTAAATGATCCTTCTTAATTTAAATACGATGCATTTTACATAACATTGACGGCTGCAGAATAAAGGCAACGACATTGGTCGATGCAACAGAAGAAGTTAAGATTATATTTGTCTATTTATTTATTTGTATGTGTATTTGTGTGTGTGTCTGTATGTATAAGTTAGTGTGTGTGTACGTATATATATTTCCTCCAATATATATTTCTCTATATTATAATCATTTGGTTGGACACAAATTAATTATAAATTATATATTTTTCTTTTGTGTAAAATAAAAAAATAAATAATATTTTTGTAACAACGAATCGATTAAAATATCGATACAGTCCCATCCCTAGGTTCGGCCTGTCAAATCCAATTCAGCGATGCCCCCGCGTACATAATTGATTTATTGATCATACGTTACATTCGATACGAGATGACTTGCGCGCGCGCATCGTCTCTTAACTACAAGGCTATTGCATCCTTTAACTGTAATTTTCTAACCAGTTAACCGGGTGACCTCAGACGCATAACTCGAGATCATTGCTGGGGGAAGAACGATAGAGATAGTTACGCTTATTTTTATATAAGCTGTATCCCGCGTCTCCGCTCACGTGAATTAGTACATAAAGTATCCTATGTATTAAATTAGGATATAACCTACACTTGTGTCAGATTTTATTCAAATCCGTTCAGTAGTTTTTGCGTGAAAGAGTAACAAACATCCAACCATTGTTCTAACGGAATAGGATATCAAATCTATAAAATATTGATGGATTCACTTGTGAAATTTTCTAATTTAATAAGTTCACCAGAGGGAGACTTTGTACAAAAGTCGATTGCTTGGGCACCTCTGTCCCATTCGTGTTTAAACCGTGAAGCAGTTATGTTTGCATGGCTGTGTTTCGGTTTGAAGGGTGGGATATGGCGTGAATTTACAGGGTACAGAGGAATAACACCTGAGTCCTCAGAAATGGCAACGCATGGGGGGTATCATGGGCGAAACAGTATACTCTGTTATGTTTATGGTACTGCTCATGTCTATAGGCGACGATTACCACTTTCCATCAGGTGGGCCGTCAGCTTGTTTGCCATTCTAAATTGTATAAAAAAATTTGGTGTTATTATTAATCTTTTTATAATTATTTGACTATGGCATCGATCGTCAGTGAATAAATTAATGGTTGAAATGAGGATTTGTTTCAACCGTTATTTGACCACTGCTGATAGGCTTCCTCATAAACTGTCACCAGGAAATGTTTCTAGACACGTGCATCCCTGATGTTATTTATCAAATGCCAGTAGAAATCTTTAGAGATATACTAGCTGGCCCTGCAAACGTTCTAGCATATAAATATTTATATTTGGATATGGACACCCAAGGAACCGAGAGAGGGGGAGAAGGAATTGTTAGTAATGGGAATTAGTAGCTCCATTACTAGCAATATACCCTGTAAGGTCGACCTCGTGGTTCACCCTGGAAACCATCGTGATTGATTTATTGTTAGATTCGCCACGGTGGGCTTATTGACCTGCTTCATCTTTACCCATCATCCCTCACTGGTGTCCTGTCAGTGTATATCGATAGCGCAGGCAAAGTTGCCATTCCATTATCATCCATAAAAAAAACAACCCGAGGACCCGGGATTGCTCGACTAGTTACTATTTTGTTACTGTAGTTATTATTCAAAAATTTACCTCTTTCTCCTTTGCAGCCAGCTCATTCTCGTAGTTGTTCCCTTGGTGGACAACAGGACTGCTTCTAGATGAATCGCTGTTGCTCCTCCCCGTCGCGGCCATTTCCATCTTATGTTCTACTTCTTCATCAATCTCGGGCGATCTTCTCTTCTCCTCTTTTATGTCTTGACTGAATATGTCTATTCTTGTTTCTGTCGCTTGGTCCCTAGTGGGTTCTAAGTGGGAGCCATTGGTTTTTGGCGGCACCGTCGCTTGGAGAGGCGTGGGGCTGGTGGTGGCTAGTTGTTCCTTCAGTGTGGTCACTTCTTTTTCGGCCAGCGTGGCTCTCTGCAAAGATGGAGAAAGGGCTTATTAGAATTTTGTAAAAGGGCAACACGAACTTAAATGAGAAAAAGGAGATAATTCATTGTTTAAGTTTGGAAGGAAAAGTACAATATCCATGATGCTGTTCATGTCTATACTTGTTTCCTTCAGGTTGGCCGTCAGCTTTTTTGCTATTCCTAGTTGCATATAAAACCTAGTGTTCATAATATTTTTTAAGCAATCTTGTACAAATTTATGGTCAAGTAATGGGCAGCAGCGTCCTTTTTTTAAACATCTCAAATGCATAACTGCGATCACCAACCCGCCTGCCACGCGTACAACAAAACCAGCATCTTTGCCTCGCAGTAACCCGCTAATCTTAGTAACTAATGATTCGAATTGAAAAATTATTTTAGTCTTGGACGGCCTGTTTATCGAGGAAGGTTGTAAGCTATATAACATTACGCTACGACCAATAGGAGCGGAGTATACATTAAAAATATTTATAGAAACTGAGAAAATTGATTTCTATTGAGAGCTTCTGTTGGAGACGAAGTTGCATGGACAGCAAGTACGAGTGTAAACATCCGTACAAGCAACACGTATTCCTGTAATATCTTCATTGTAATAGTTAGTTTGATTGTAACAATTTGCATAAACACAGGAAACATCGATTTAATGAGTGAACAATATTTCATTAGTGTTTGTAATCTAATTATCAGTTCCCATAGCCATTTGTTTTTTTTTTCATAGTGTAATAGCTTTGTTGTTGTTTCCTGTACCATTCAAACGTGGACCATTGAGAAGTAATCAGTAGATCTGAACGGATGTGAAACCACTATCGGGAATGGCACTAAATGTTTGCTTTGTATTGATTGTGTTTTTTTTTTATAAGACATTTGCGAGGCCATTGTTCAATTTGTTGTAATAGAAACAATGAATGAATTAAGTTAGATCATGGACTAACTTAATAAAAAAAAAAATTGCTCCAAATGCAAGCTGGCTTTTTTTATAGCACTGAGATGGCAAAAGAATATACGACCCATCTTATGGTAAACGGTTACTGTAGTCTCTGAACACCTGCAATACCAGGAGCATTACGCGCGCGTTGCTGACCTCGGAGAAACCACTTTATCTCTTTTTTTAAGGATCCCACGCTGAAGTATCCTGGAAAAGTCTCGACGGGGAGTTCATTTCATAACTTAAGCGTTCATGGGAAGAAATATCTCTGAAACCGCGCTGTACACGACTATCTAGTTTCTAAGGTTTTGATGGGTGAAAATGGTATAGTAATCCCGCCTGCGCTAACAGGATACGCTGGCGGAGCACCAGTGAAGGGTGATAGATGAGAATGAAAACAGGTCAGTTAGCCTGTCATGATGAATTCATCAGCAATTACCCATGATAGTTTCCAGGGAGAACCGCGAGGAGGTCGAAAGCTAATGGGATTCTCAAATCCCTTTCCCCCCAGTCTAAAGCGTCAGTCTCTGTCGTATACGATGGTAGAAAGTGACCGTGGTATTTTACTTTTTTAACTCTTTTATAATGTGTAGTTTGTTGTATTTTAAACCAAAGAAAATTTTATGAAGCAAGTTCAAATCATTATTGCATAAATTTACAAAGAATATTAAATTTAACTTAAAAGCTTAATGATTTTTGTTTTGATTAACGCTGTTCCTGGGTTTCCGTTTGGTATGTATATCTTTATCCTATATAGCATTAAATTCTTTTATTGCACCGTAGAGTTTTGATCAATAATAAATTTACATTTAATAAATTCAGACAACAAATTTAAACCTGAAGAACACAGTGGTGTAAGTAGCAAATTGTGTAAAAAGAAGAACGATTGTTTTAAAAGCAAATAATAAACAGATAAAGGAAACACTAGGCGTCATGTCGTATAGGGAGATAAAGGATATGGCCTGGGATAGAGCTGGTTGGAAGATGATGCATGAATTAGTTGCACCGACAAGAGGGAACTCTTAAATGAAAAGAAGAAATGCTTCAAATAATAAACAATTAAAATGTCCCGCATCCCGATCGATGTAAATTAGTTTTTACAACTGTTAATTTCTATTCATTCATTTCTAATCCCGCCCTTGCTGTTTCCGTTACGAATTCACTAATGAGTCATTAGTCAAAGAAAGCAAAAAATATCTTCCAATGTGTGTGCTCGCACGCGTGACGTATGTGGGCAGATAACATCGTCTGTACAAGATTACCTACGATGTTAGGGTGAGGAGAGAACAGCCACGTTCTCAGGTGATCTTACGATTTTATATATATATATATATATATATATAACAAGAAATTATAACAAGCTGGTAGAAAGAGGTTCACTATTATTCACTCTTGCGCCACCTACTCCCACTTCTATCTGTTCTCCTTTAACCAAAGGTTGTCTGTAAGAGATTGCCCTAGCGATAAGACCGCCTTTTGTACCTTTATGTGTATATTTCAATCTGTATTTATGTTATTGTATTTCATTTGAATTATTCACTTGTCATTGTATATTTTTATTTATGGTGCAATAAAGAGTTAAGTAAATAATAATAATAACTACCTTCATCAGGTATTGTCCATGGACATTACAGAACATGTTGGATATTTTGAAAAATCTTGATAACTTAATTTATACATGACTGTAAGTGTAGGAGAACTAAAAGAGATAGATGGAGTGTGTAAAAGAAATGGTCACACAGAAGTTAATATTGAGATAATTAGTTATTAAATTAATATTCAAATATGTACATATATATAAAACTAATATATTTCATAGAATCACAAAAAAAAAACAAAAATTAAATTAATGAACGAATATAGTGCCATTCACGATCCGTACCCGACCCAAAGGTCCCCATGACACTTGCGGCATTTCCGCGTTGGATTGCCAGAGATATCCTTCGAGCCAGATACGAACCAGAACGGCGATCATGGCCCCTATTTGTAATGAGCAGACTCAACTCTCTTATGAAGGATTTTGCTTCCGCTCCCCACATGCCCGTAGTCTCAAAAGCAACGGGAACGAAGATAATTAGATGGCTGTTCGGAACCTAGTGTTAACCGTTCGGTGTCCCAACTGCGAAATATAAATATAGTATATACATATATAATATTCTATTATTATACTCTGTACCAAAGCATCACGTGTACACTCCGCTTTATATCTACACACAGTCGCGTACGCATGTATCATTACAAATTTCTCGATGAAATCACTGATATTTGGATTAATAGCGTATGTTTTTTTTTTGTAATTAATGCCTTATCGAGCATTTCATTACGTTAGATTTCATGTTAGATAGAGTAACATTCGCTGTTTACTTGCCGTTTCTAAAATTTACAACACTCCGTATATATAGCAGTACGATGAAAACTTAATACACTTGACCAACTTCGAATAATGCGCGTTCTTATTTTTCTATCAGAATAATATTATGGTTAAAAAATAGGCTTTGGTTTAAAATAAAACTTGATTGAAATGTATTCATTTGAGATTGTTTTGAAAAGTTCTTTAGTAATCGTTAATTAATTACAAATATATTCATAAATGCCAGCGTACATGAGTATAGAATTTACAATGAGTCAATAAATCGTTTAGCGGGTAATCTGCACTCATTCGAACGTTTATATTGATTGACTGATTGAGGTACAAGAAGTATCTATAATTTTACATAACATAAAACATAAAATTTTCAATTTATCTATAATTTTGTTTCAACTGTGAAGCAGTTGTGTTTGAATGGCTGTGTTTCGGTTTGAAGAGTGGGGTATAGCGTGAATTTACTGGGTATAGAGGAATAACACCTGAGTCCTTAGGAATGGCAACGCATGGGGGGTATCATGGGCGAAACAGGATACTCTCTTATGTCCATGCTACTACTCATGTCTATAGGCGACGGTTACCACTTTCCATCAGGTGGGCTGTCAGCTTGTTTGCCATTCTAAGTTGTATAAAAAAATAAAAAAAAAAATCTCAATTATTCATAATATAAACAAGTAGGACTTCTGAAATGAATAAGAATTATAAAAAAATCGGTTTAGAATTTGTAATATATTATTGTCCTATTAATATTATAAATTTGAAAGTCTGTTATGAGGAATGGATATTTGTTATTTCATGCAAAAGCTACTGAACGGATTTGAACGAAATTGAGTACACGGGTAGGTTATATCCTAATTTAATACGCAGGATACTTTGTGTACTAATTCATGCGGTTAAAACTTTAGGATTTTCTATTAAAAAATAGAAACTAATTAAGATTGACTGATTGAGAATCTTCTATTTTTCGAAATTGCTCAAAAAATAAACAGTAATGAATAATGTTTGAGAGAGTAATTTAACTATTCTATTAATAAACATAAGTACCTACAGTCCAAGGGTATAAATCTATAAAACTGAAACTCATTTTTGTGAGTCATAGACAATAAACGACAGGAGCGATCAATCACGCTCAATTGAGTCTATGGCACAAATCACACATTACGTAATCGGGAGATGACAAATCTTTACTCTAGTTTCCACCTACGGTTTTTCGTAATAAGTAGTTATTGCTACTTATACGACAGCAAAACGAAATGGCTTCAAAGCTGAAGTAAAGGCTGAGCTAACTAACTGAAGACAATATACAGAAATTAGGTCTATAGTTTACTTGAAAGCAAATTTTGTTTAATAACTTCAATTTTCAATTGTGTTGATAGAAGGGAATGCTGACTTGTGACGCAGTCTATTTCAATAGAACTTTAATCATAAGGTAATCAATTTTTATTGAAATTATCATAGAAACGATCTCCAAAAGATATTACTAAAAAATCGATATATTTAATTGATTGAATAATTTTTAAATTGTACTACAATTGGTTATTGATAGACTGTCTTATATTAGAGACAATTGTTCGTTTGTTTACAGTTTTATTAAATTCTATCGAAACAGAAATGCAGTAGTAGAAATGATATAAATGCAATATAACTATAAAGTTTAAAACATATGAAAATAAAAGTCTGTTTGTCCGGTTGGTTTTAT